TCATGTGAACCAAATCAAAGCACACCAATATTGCTGCCACTGCTCTCATCCCCTTCAAGGAATGCTTTGGCTAGAATAGCCTGCAGCAATGAACCTGTTCCATCCCCTGGCCTCCAACATAACCTCTACTACCTGCAGAGACTCAGCACCAAAGCAACACTCTTTAAGGTTTCAGTCTTAACAGTTTAAATGGAAGTAAATTCAGTTATTTAGAGACCACTTCTTTAGACAGACCTATTTGGAGTTGTTGGAAGGGAAAAAAAGAAAGGAGATCTAGTTGCTCCTTGACCATTTAAATTCGTTCTCCTTCAGCCACAGTGCCTAAAAAATAAAAAAAAATAAAAATCTATTACTGTACCAAAGAAGTTAGATACAAATAAAAGTGGATGTTTCACTGCAGTGTTCCATGATACAAGTGTACGGTATAATTATTTTGAAAGGAAAACTCCTTTCTAGGACTTTTCTAATTAGATTGCCCTTTCTCACATCTCTTGCATATTAAACTTACATATCTCCCCTCCAGTGGAGCCCGTCTCTGTTTCTGCATTGTCATTCTCAAGGCAGACACCTGGACTGCTGCAGAAAGAGATTTTAACCTCCAGTAGCTCAAACTGCCTGCCTTGCTTTCCTAGGATGACAAATGCCTCTTTACTCTTTTTCTCCTCCAGATTGTTAACAGTCTGTAGTACACAGATTATTCAATCACCAGCAGCAAAGAAAATGTCAAAATGGGCAGAAAAGCCCAAGACAAAACACTGGAAACAGAGAACAGCTCTTCTAAGGCTGAGATATGAAACTGTAAACACTATGCATATTTCAAGCAAATTTACTTTTACTCTCTTGAAAATGGGCAATTAACTAGTTACATTCAAATCTAGATCTGAACATCATGAGACAAGAACCCTGGGAAGGTAGAAACGATTTCATCCCCAAGTCACAAATACAAACAGCAGCCTCCTACTGAGAGAAGAAAGGTTATTTACTGAATACCGATAAACACTGACTGCATGCACTTATTTCACCTCTCCCAAACAAGTGAAAAGCAGATGGGCTTGTAACATGAATGTGAATCTGAGGAAAATAAAAGAGCAGCTAGCTTCCAAGTAATCTTTTACTTTTTCCTCCTTACAGACATTCCTAGGTTATTTCAGCATAGATGAAATCTAACCATGGAAAACAGGATCTGCAGAGCTCAAGAAGAAATAAATTATTTGGGAGGAAGGGTGGGAAAGGAAAAGGAAAAAAAAATCCTTACCAACTGACTGGCCTTACTGTGCACTTTTCCAGGAGACCAAGAATTGCTTCTGATGCAGCAGCATTCAGCCCTGGAGAAGTCAGACAGAGCAAAAAGGGAGGGGAGGTACGAGGAGGGAAGGGAGGGGAGAGGAGGAGAAGGGAGGGAAGAGGAGGAAAGGGGAGGGGAGAGCATGTACACTGCATGTCAGTTTGTTGAGCCCTAACATTGCCTTCAGGAAAGAGAAGAATGAAGCTACTGCTAAATCAGGCTGGGAATTGGTTTGCAATGGTTCTAAATAAGGGAACAAGATCTTAGTATGCCCATTTGGGTTCAAAACAGAGAGTCGGGAGGAAGAAATGCGCGTCCCCACATGTGTCTATTTAGAGAACCTGGAATGCTGAACATGCTTTTTGCTCCAAAACAGAGATCATAATAAAACTTCAAGTCAAGCAGGGTAAATGTACTAGCTGCAGCCAAACTTGTCACTGCAATTAGTGAAAGAGGGAAGCTGTCCAGAAGAAAGCAAGATTTTCTTGCTTTCCTACAATCCTCCAATCTCAACTTGCATCTACCTGCAAATCTAAGAGACTGTAAACTAGATAGAGTAGTCATCTCATCTCTTCATTCACGTTTATGTTGCCAGCTGCATCCAAACACAATATGCAGTGCACTGCAGACATTCCTACTTGGAAGATTTTCACCCAAAAGCAGTAAAACAGACCAAGGGGAAGGGGAACAGCATACACAACGGCCAGAATCATAGTATTAAAATACTGTATGCACTTGAATATAAAAATATGCCAGCCATTCTCTCACCAACCAGCCAACCATTATATTCCAGTCCCACCCTACCAAGAAAAGTTAGCTGAATTACAATTTTAGTACCTGAAGGGAGAATGGGAGGGGAACACTCATTGTTTCAACACATCATCTCATCACCATACCTCTACAGGACTGGGATGAAAAATCAAAAAGTGACTTCTCATCTCAGAGGCTCTACCTCTAGTATCCCAAATTTCCCATTCCTCACAAGCCATGCCGATTTCTTGAAATCTACTGCATAGCTATCCAATTTATCAACCTTTATTCCCTTGAGCTAGCAATTTTGCTTCTAGTCAACTGTTGTCCACCATCCTCAGTCAGATGCCTTCCTGGACCTAGAAGCCTCCCGAGCCCACAAAACAACATGAAGTCTTGCACACATGCAGAACTTCAGGAGCTCTTCCAGCTGCATCGTTGCTGCACAGCATGATGCAGCAAGTGGTCCCAATGGATGACACAGCTCTGTAAAATTCTGACTCCACAGATCTGCAGTGGGGCATAGGAAGGGCTCAGCTGACCCCCTACCTTCGACTGGCTAGTTCCCTCCTGGCAAAGGTTGACTTCAATCCAAAAATTGAGGAAGATGCCGAATTACGTAGTGCCAAGGGAAGAGACAGCACCAGAAACACTACAGAATTTTTCAGGTCTGCCCCTGAAAAGCTGACTCTTGTGAAGCTCTCCTCTGCTCTTGATCCACAAAAAAACAGACAGGCTGTTCTGGTATCTTCTCAGTTTTAAGTAAGCTCTTAGCAGCTGTAGGAAAGACCTATCTTCACACCACTCCAGAAAAACACAAAAATCGAACCTCTTACTGTCACAGCAACATAATTCACTGGAGACTTCCAGGTTTATACATTGTCCTTACGGCTTTAGCAAAGTGTTACTGACAACTTGATCTGGCACACAGAGCCCCTGTGGTAGATGCTTATCTGAAAAAATGCAAAACAGTTGTGCAATGGCTCACAGCCTGCCGGGCGGCTCTTCCTCGGTCCTTCTCAGAAACACAAACTCTCCCACCTTTACCTCACACCCCACTCCCAGCACTGCCGTCCCCTGAACACCATCCCACAGACTCAGAACAAACCGAGAAGCATGCCACTTAGTAAAAATGAACATCTTCCTTACAGGAAAAAAACCCAAACCAATAAAATCATATATGCCCTTTCTCCACATAAAGCCACAAGCCCAGCGGGTCCCCAAGCCCATCACCAGAGCAACTCACAAAGAGTTAGTGCAGCTACATTAATTCGGCTGGAAAGGGTTTTCATCACCTTGTTTCTTTCCTTGCCTCTTCTGCTGTTTCAAAAATAGCTCTGGCTTGTTTGCTGTACCGCTTATGTCAGTCTGATTTTATGCCTGACTGGATGTATACAGACAAGCTCGTAGTCCATTAAACACCGACTACCCAGATCTGTACATACATGCACAGTCACACAAACACAAAGCACAGCCCCCTCCCTTGGAGGCCATGCTGGAAAGCTGCTTGTTTTCAGAGGCTTTGCGCTGTATTAAGTATGTTTATAGCAGGCCTCAAATAGGGGCTAGAGAACAGACCACAGCCTTTTATGAGGTGAAAAAAAAAGGCAGAAAAGCAAAAGAGCACAAACATCCATCTGTCTTAAAGCTGCAAGTAAAGACCTTCCCTGTGATGAAAATACTTTGAAATGTGAGTGCACTTATCAAATGACCTAAGGTTATTTGGTTGCATGCTGTTAGTGTTTCTGTCCATTAGAGATAAACAATCCCTCCTGAAGGCTTTGAAAACTATTATCCACAATTGCCACGAAAGGAAAGGATATAGGAAAACGCAAACATGCAGAAGTTCTGGAACAAACTGCTCTCAAAAAAAATTTCAGGTAAAGTCCTGAAATACTAGAAGCTGTCTGAATGAGATTTTTCCTACTAGCACTTCTTAATCACTGGATTTTCCTGAACAGCTTTTCTTTTCAGAATAAATCAACTTGCTGGAGCTATTTCACTAATCCCTGATTAATTCCATTCAAATCTGGCATCCTTCCCAAACCCAGTAATCTAAAGCTCAGCTTCCTTTAGCACAGTTCTACCTTCACAACACAGCTCATCAGCTGTGAGCTGCCTCTGCGATGTGTTTTTAAATAAAACTTTGTCAGCATGCCATGACTCAGGAACATTGGTTACCATGAATTGAACATTTCCACAAGGAAACGCAGCACAAAGAAATCCTGATTGCTCATTCTACCCATGTTCCTATATAACTATAAAATGCAATATGCGTTAGCTATTTGATCACTTATTATAAACATAAATTAGTACCTACTGATATTTCTGTATGAAGTGCTCCCCAACTACTTATCTGCTAAAAAAACCTCTGAAATTTAAGAGGAAAAAAAAAACCATATACCATTTCCAGCAGCCACCAGCATATGAAGATAATATGAAAAAGATGAGCCTCTCAGGCACAGTATCTCTCATTTTGGGTGTTTGCTTCTAAATGCAATTCTGTATGTGTATTAACAGGAAAGAACATACAAACAAAAGCTCACCGTATAACAACAAATTAGCATCTTAACACACAGTGCATGAAAAACTAGTTGTTATTTGACATCTGAGGACCTCTTCAATTTCAACAGTAATTCAACAAACCAGACATGCAAAGAACTGGAACAGATTGCCTGGGGAAATTGTGGAGTCCAATCACATAGGTCTTTAATGTCAACGTCAGAAATTAATGGGTAAAAGTCAGTTCTGCCTTGTGGCAGAGAGGTAAAATAGATGACTGCCCAAGACCCTTTCCAACTATATGGTCCTGACCTCCCGCTTTTTTTTCTTCTTTTTCTGGGGCATTCATTCTCTCATCTGCTTACTTCTAGCAAGCCCTCTTAGCTTTCACTCCTATTAAGACTAGTATCACACTTAGAATAAGCTTTGAACAAAGTATAAAAATTCAACATTGTCTTCTTACCCATCCTCCTTGTTGAATGATATAGTCTGCAGAATAGTCTTCTAGATACGTCACCCCAAAGTTCACAAGTGCGCTCAGCGGTTCCTGGCCCCGTCTCGTTAACTCTATCAGGAATTGTTGTAGCAGAACCAGGGGTACCAAGACCTTCAAAAAACAAGAATTGTGAATAAATACAGAAAGCTTTATCAATACTACTGTGTAGGTAAAACAGAAGAATTCATGTGGCCCACGGAAAAGCTCAGAATCTACAAGTCCAAAGATATCAGGGACTATACACTTCATTTTTGTGAAGACACAAGGCAGAAACACAATACAATTCAGTAAGAAAGAAGCACTTAATCTGATAAACAAAACACCACAGCCTAATTTGAGAGTTTCACAGAACAGGACTGCAGTGCTTTCTTAAGATGCATTTTTTTCCAACACAAGATTCAGGTAAAGAAGCAGAATAGGTCCAGAACTTGCTACCCCAGAAGTGGAAAGATTATTGAAAAGGATTGTGGAAAGGGATATGCCTCCAAATTGTATTTAAACAGCAAACTTATATACATTCTCGAATAGACACACTGCACTAGACAGGCTCTTCAGAAGTTCACACTTGGCTTTCAGACAGGATAGAAACAAACAACTCCCAGCAGCATAACATTACAGGCATGTTTAAAATGACAAACAAAAGCTCCTCTCCATGTTAAACTCTCCCTTCTATGCCAGATTTAACACCTAAAGAATTCCCTCCCTCATTTCCTACTCCCATTCCTCCTTCCAAACCTTTTGTCTTTAACTGAGTGCTCAGCCTTAACCCAAATGTGAATTGCTCTGGAAGAAGCAAGACTCTGTGAACCCACCTCCTTCATATTATACAGTTCTAGACACTTCCTTCTGAAATTATGTTTTTATTTGCCTAAATAACATGCAATTGAACTTTTAAGCTCTAAATTTATTCTCCTAGAGCATACAAGTGGCCCTCTGGGCAAAGTTTATATGCAACACTTTGCCAAGTTCAGGAAACTGGTATGAATGGAAGTTATTAGCATCTGAAAAAATGCTATTATGATACAAGAGAAAAATATTTGTAAGCTTTACTGCACCTAGTTTGTGACAACTGCATTGCACATCTACTCACTGGGCAAATTAGAACGTGGTTTCCCAGCTGCACAAGGTAAGTGCAGGCTAATACTACTGCTCAGACTGAACTCTAAATGCCTCCCTCCTTTCTCAGTCTCCTCCTTCAGCCTGATTTTCTTTCCAGTAAATATTCTCCATTACTACACCCAGAAATCAGACCTTAGGATGCAAAGCTGGAGGAAGATGAATAGGAAAAGGAGGCTGGATCTGAGATTTGTACTAAATCCATGGTGGAATCACACTGAGATGGACCACTGAAAACAGATGGGGCCTTAAGAGTGCCTGTATTTAAGATGTTCCAGCTGATTAACAACTGAAAGAGCCCAATACTATGTCAGACAGGTTACAGTACTGTTCTTCTGGGATGAACAGTTAACACTGCAGTCACTCAACCAGGAACGAGATGGTACTTGAATTTTAAAAGCCTTGGGGTTTTTTGAGTTTCTTGTCATTAATCTCAACTCAGAGGCAGAAGAGGTGCAAGTTCACAGTGTACAAACATAAGGAGCAGGTCAAGGTGAAGTAAGTGTCAGAATAAACTTCAATCTTTTTGGATCAAAGAAAAAAATCATGCTGTCAAGACTAGGCATCTTTCAGAGGCTTCTGGCACACCCACATAACTCTACAACAGCATGAACATGAGATCTCAAAATATTTGACATTTACTTCGAGCTGAAGGCAAGAGAAACAAAGGCAAAAAAAGGCTGCTTAGGAAATGAAGGGAGCTCAAATGCTGGCATACTGAACATGATGGTTGCCATCGTCCTTTGCCAACATATCTAATCCATGTACTCCTCCCAAATTTAGCAAGCCTCTGCAGGTCTCAGGAGCAAGGGACCAAATTCAAAATCTAATATCCAGTCCCATCCAGATCAAAAAACACTGCCTGGTTTTCCTTTCCCAATGACATTATTGACACTTCTACCTTTGAGACCAGTAGGAACAGGTTTGCATGATACTGTTCCTAAATTCATGAAAGAAATTACCTTCACAGTACTTCCATAAAGGTTAACAACAGCTTTCTGTACGTAACAGTAGCTATGTGAATGGTGATGAGATTTAACTAGACCAAAGTAAAAATATAGCCTTAGTAATTCAAAGCAACTGCAATTCCTTCCACCAGTACGCCTGGGAAGGAATGCTAGGGGCTATTTATATTTTGACTGAAGAAAAACACACACAGTATCAAGCACAGCATGCCAGAAAATAGTTGGCAGGAGAAGACTTCCAGGTAATCATTAAAAAACCCACACTTTACTATCAGAAGATTTCTGATTAATTGTGTAAATGAAAGATTTCTGTCAATTATACTGTTGCAATCCCATAGTACAATATTACAAATTCAAATATATGGAAAAAAAATTATTACAAAGAAAGTTCAGAGACTTTGAAGAAACTACATCCAAAACAATTGTTACTTCTGCATACCTTTTGACTATTTCAACATAAAATTAATCTCATTCTTTACAGGATTCTTACATTTTTGTTGTATCACTCTTTGGCTCCATTAATCAGTAAAAATGAGACATTAAGATAACTGCTAACCTACTTACCAGTTCAGTTGACTCTCAATATGAGTATTCGTTATCCTTTTATCTGATGCATGATAGTGGGATTATGTATTTTGGAGTATGTATATAATATTCAATTTTAAGCAAAAAGCATAAAATCTCAACAAAGGAGTATTTCAATTTTTTATTACATTTATTTTATTACAGAAAGATAATTTGCCCTAAGTTTGAGATAGTTTGGGGTTTGTTTTGTTTTAATGAGAGTCTTATTTCAAATACAAGGTGAAGACTCCTCCTTTTCTTTACAGAATCCAACATCATGCCCGTTATTTTCATGTCACAATTTCTGAAAAATACATGAAATAATTTCTCTTCCTGATATTTTTTTACTGAGAACCAGCACTTCTAATGTCTGTGGGTAAATTTTGCTTCTGTGGGATGTTAATAGAAGAACTGATGTTCCTATGTATTAGTTTACCCTGCAATATTTCCTCATTGAGATCAATATACACATTTCAGTGACTGGAAACATTCCTTTACATCCCATGTGCTAGTCAGCTAACCAAATCTCTTCAGCAGTTCAAACATACCATTCCACTCTGGAAAAGATTCACATTTTTTAATGGAAAAAATAACATCTATATTTAGAAGTGTCTCCTTTCTGCTCATGCTTGTACAATGAATAGGTTCTTTGAAAGCTAGTGTGACTAAAAATGACATCTTCCCAACTGTGTAAAGCAGACAGATCAAGCCTTTGTTCACATTCATCCTCGAATCAGCTAGCCAGCTAGGTAATCCAGTACCTCCCAGAAGTATACGCTTACCTGTATGCCGTGTTTCTCATATGCATAACATTAAGGAAGATTTGCAAAAACTACTTTGAGTCTGCTTTGTACCACACAGATACTGGGCCTTTAAGCGATCAGTGTGGCTCTCCGAGTGCAACTCATTCAATATATTAAATAGGTGGGGCTTTTATACATATGTATGTATAACAATACATACCTACAATAGCAAAGGCTCAGAAATTTAAAGTGAGATTTTATATACTAGTTCATAGGCTACTGAAAGCAAAAAAAGCATCTTGCACATCAAGCCACTACTGAGCACAACAGCTAATGTGTAACTGAAAACACATTTCATCTATTATCTTCAGTTGTTTTATTTCTTCTAGTCTGGATGAAACCACAAGCCTTGATCACACAGAATTGTCTGTGGGAAGGTATTTCCACATTTTTAACCCTTCGACATCTGCCACAGTTACCGTGCATCTTCAGTTTCTGTTCCACCCAAGAAACTATAGGACATGTAATGGCCATGAGCATGTAACAGGGAGTGATTTATTATTCTGTTTGGCTAGCTCAGCTAGCTGTATGTTTTCTTATTATCTAGTCACAAAAGAAAGTAAGCTTCAGTTCTCCAGATAGAGTCAATTTAAATATACATCCTTCAGACTTTCACAAACTTGAGGCCGGCACAGCCTCATTTTGTTTCTGTACGCTTGCTAATTAGACCTAACGCTATGTTTATTTATAGCTACTTTAAAAAATTATTTTTCTAACAGCTTCTTCTTTAGAGTGAAAATTAAGCTAGGATGAGGTTCAAGGAAAGATATCTAGATCTCTTCTGTTATAAAACACGATTCTGATTAAGATGATAAAGGAATTTAAAGGAAATGAAACCAACACAAATGTGTTCCATCTCTTCAAAACAAGTATTATGAAAGGAACTGCTAGACATTCCTGAAGCATCAAGCTCCCATGAAAACAATACAAACAGATGCTGTATTATTCCTCAAAATTTCCATTCTGGTTTGCTTCTGGACTATAGGTTTTATAGCAACAAACGTTACAGGTAAGCAAAGACGATGTCAAAGACATCTTCTGGATGATATTCTCAATCACATGCCAATAGGGACCAAAATCCACTAGCCTCAGGGGCTGCACAAATGTAGCAGCAACGAAGGCTGAATGATAAACCCCCAAATGCGGCTGATCTACCCAGGGCTGTATCTTCAAGAGTTGTGTACCAATAGCATATGGAGACACAGTAGTAGGCAACTGACAAGCTCCATCCACCTCCTCCCTTGCCAGCTGAGCCACAATGACTGGTTTTATGCTTGTTTTTAGTTTTCACCAACTGAAAAGTAAAATGTGTTAGCTTAAGCTACCTTCTTGATAATCAGATTTCATGGTTGTTTAAACTAAAATGCTATGAATCACAAGATGATAAACTGAAAGCACACACACACCAATTATAATTGCTGGAGCCATGGGCAGTAACTTGTCAAGCAATGTTTAATAAACTGCTTTAAAAGTGCCCACACCCTTGGTTAGATGATCAGTTTCTGAATTAAGCAGAGAAATCTAGTTAAGGAAAAGTATTTCTGAAAAAAAGAAATGTAAAGAGGGGAAGAGATTTCTTGTTCTATTTTAATATTAAATTTTAACACTCAATTTGTGATTAAATTTGCAAATAGCTATTTCATTCTTTCATTCTTTTTCTGATGCCCACTGAACCCATCACAGAATGGTTAAGATAATGAATTTGTATGATTAATGAAAGATTAATCTGGGAACAGTAATTCTACTCATTCTATTTTAAAACTATTATAATATGGTTCATTTACAGATTTGCATTTTATTTTAAAAAGAAGCTTCAGATCATTTGAGATGACTACTCCTGAAACCAGGTAGGCACACCATCCTTACGTTTCCTGAACAATTTAAATATTGTGAAGATACTATCAATTTTTATTTTCACCATTTTTAGCACTGTTTTTTTACATATATTTTGAACCTGAGATGGGAGCAAAGAAACAGTAGAGAAATATTAAGTAAACACCTGTCTCTGATTTCATTACAAAACTGCTAAAGAAATAAATATCTCCTGGGAATTTTAAAATGTTTAATGATTATTTTTTTAAAATTATATCAAGCAACAACTCGTAACTTTTCATTTTACTGTAATAAAGGATGATTGACCTAATACTTCCATTAGGTAACTTCTGGCTAAATTACCTAAAACCTGCATATTATGTCTACATCTCCCATTTTGAGAGCAAAATCATTTTATACTAAAAACAAGTAGGTGGTTCTCATTCTTGGTCCTCTGTGAAGCATAACTGTGTCTAGTAAAAACACCACGGACATCAAATAGATGCAAGACATCAAAGTGAAAGTCACTCATTTGGTACCTTGTTCCATCCACTGGCATGAGCAGCTATCTCTTGTGTGCGCTCCCGATATTCTTGATATGTCACTGGCCTGCAGAAGTTAAACCAACACTGAAAGTTATAAAAGGAAACAAAAGAACAAGAATAAAATAAAATTCTCAGTTTCCAGAGAACAAAATATTTTCACATGTACAGCAAATAATTTTCAAGAGCTAACAAGTCTTGTATTTCAGGACGTAAAACACCAGCACCAGACAGGGTCAGGAAGGTATCACAGTTACACAATTTCATATAATTGGTTAAGTTAATTTCATAATAATTTTATACTCTGCAACTTAAAGGACATTAGATAAGTAGGTTCTCTGATATGCTACCAAAATTTCCAAGCTCTTGCGTATAATTTTTTATAATCTAAGACTTTAAAGATAGAAAATTCCACTAAGAAATTCATATGAGAGAGGCCAATGCAGAGTAAAATTTTTATAAACAATATAGGCTATGAACCAACACAGATTGCTTGACCACATTAACATGATGTTAGAGTTGAAGCCTTTATTTGCAAGAAACAGCACTTTTGATCACAAAACCCCCTTCGTATTTCAGTAGATACCTCTATTTTAGATTTATCACATCTCTACTTCTCTGAATTGGGATGATGAAATTCCTCTCTTCTATACTCTTTCCTCCAAGATTGTACAGTATCTTAGAGTCAGTAACAATAAAGACATCCTGCCAAGCAACAGCAGAAGATGTGCTGCTTCAACAGCAGTTCTCCCGAGTCAGATCAGGACAAAAGGCAAGTTTTGTTTAAGGGAAATAGTGGTAACTGGTATTGGACAGAAGACTGCTTATTGAATCCCAAGAACCTGTCATGATCTAACAGCCTACTGTACCGTAAGATACTTGTTTATATGCATATAAGAGGGCAGGAAAATATAAGCAAAATAAATAAGTATTGCATCAAATAGCACTACTGTAGCAAACATGGGTAAAAGAACAGACTTAAAGCACGCTGGGGAAAACAAAATTTGGGTTTGTCATTTTAAGTCCATTCTCTTAACTTCCTTGGCAGATTAGTTCCTTTAAAACGCAAATCCAAAAAGAGCAAGAACAGCTGCAGGAAGGATAACATCAAGAGATTAAACAGTAGCTCTAGTTTGCCTTATAAAAAGGCATGCGTGTCAACACATTTTCACAAGCATTTCAGACTTTATATGTATGTATATATGAATATATATAAGTAACAAAAAGAATGCAAACATTTTCCCATAGAAAATACAAGAAGCCTAGAACATCAGGCTACTAACAAGATAGAACCACTTAATTTTCCAAGACCTCATCTCAGGAACGTTCAAAAAAGAATCAACCTAGACGGCACCAGTTAAGAGCCCTCAACATCAGACAGTCAGCCAATTATCTACAACCTTTAAGACATTTAAACTTAAAATGCTGTTATTTCAATTTACCATTTTGGACACACAAAAAGGACGGGCTGCAAGGCTTACTGATAACTTTCCAACTTGTTGCCAGTCTGGTTTTTTTAGTGTGTAGTGAGGTATTTATCAAAACCTCAGCTCTTCAGAATATACTAAATACAAGTTTTTAAGGCCACATGGGACAAGTGCCCAGCTTGTAAAGGCAGATAAGCTTCTGCCAGTTCTGGGGGGACACATCAGCATCAGCATATCTTTTGCCACTTAAGGAGAAACTTGTAACCCACATGCTCTTTTCTGTGGGTAAATAATTGTTAGTTTACACAATACTGAACTTACTTTTGACCCTACAGAAACTGCAAATAGAAGCAATACAGTGTGTGTATATATATGTAAGTTTCTGAAAGTTAAATGGTGAGTTGAGAGAGTGCACTTTTCCCTTGGATGACTCATGGAAAAAGAGACAACCATCTTCATCTGTCTGGTCAGATGTAACATGGCACCTTTGCTGTGAAATCTGGATCAGAGTCATAGAATCATAGGATGGTTTGGGTTAGAAAGAACCTTCAAAGATCATAGGCAGGGACATCTTTCACTACATCAGGTTGCCCAAAGCCTCGTCCTGCCTGATTGTGAGCAGTCAGTTTTAAATTATATTGGTGATAAAAAGTCAACCTCTAGTTGTTGACTAGGGAGCTACTTAAGGAATAGATGGGCTAGTTAAGGAATCACAGAATGGTAGAGGTTGGAAGGCACTGCTGAAGAACATCCTGTCCAACCTCCCTGCTCAAGCAGAGTCTTCTACAGTAGGCTGCCCAGGACCATGCCGACAGCTTTTGAATACTTCAAGGATGGAGACGCCACAATCCCCCTGGGCAACCTGTGCCAGTGCTCAGTCACCCTCACAGTAAAAAGGTGTTTCCTGACGTTCAGATGGAATGACTTTAAATTCGTAATCTTCCAGAAGTCTGCCATAAAGGGTATAGCCTTCATGAGGGCATGAGATGACTCTCCAATGCATGTATGAAAGGCTTAAGGCCCAGGCATCAGAAAGTTTACCCTAGGTGCTGATCTAGGCTTCCACTACCTTGTTGTTCAAGCAGTTCATGAACAGCTACGCAAACTCTGAAAGAGTAGTACTAGAGATTCTCAGCTTCTTTGAGCCATATTATTTAAACTGATCCACAAAACATAGACTCAGATAGCTATTTGCTAATGCTGCCTTCACAACCGCATTTATGTAACTGTCCCTAAAGTAGCACCTTCCAACTCCAGCTCTCTACAAATACATTTTGGAGGTCACTCAGAACAGCCAGAACTAGTTCATGTGGATCCATTAAAATCAGGCTGGTAATTTATAACAGAAAACCAAGCAACCACAACAATTTTACCAATTTGCAAAAGACAGTAATCAAGATACTAGCATGCCAAGTATAATATGCTATTTAAACAGTAAGTTTAAACTGGTAGGACAGCTCTTAAGGCACCAAGGTTAGCCCAGGGGCCCACATTTGCTTCAGATGTGTACCTGAATGGTGGTCATAAAGCATTTAACTACCATCCTTTCAGAGAAATTCTCCTGCTCATCTTGTGCCAGACTACAAACAAACCTACAGCTCCACTCTTAACTAAAAGGTAAAAGAAGTTAATCGGGCTACAGCCCAGCATTCATGAAATTGGCAACGGCAACTGGCAGCTGCCAGCTGCTGGTCTCACCAGCAACTCAAACTACTTGAATTAGTCTCAGAAGTTCAATGATAAACGCTTAGAAAAATTTTAGAACTTATATTACTGCAAAGAGCAAATACCACAAAGAAGTATTCGCACATTACAACACAAAACAAAAAACCAGCCAGATAAAGGAACATTGAAAAAGAAAGAAATGCAATACAAAACATGTAGCCCCATCTTTATCATTTCAGCAGCAGTCATAATGCAAAAGGAAACACCTCCTCTTTCAAAAAGCAAATGGAAACTCACTTGCTAAGCAAGCTCTGCAGTGCTTTATGCAGATGTTCTTTCAACTCCTGGGACACTTTCTCCCCCAAATGAGCCAGGCAGTCTTCTATTGAGCTCTCTGGATTGGCAGGACTGAACACTGGGGAAGTGTGGCAGTCAAATCCTGTAGTGGTAAATGCTGAGAGAAAGACGTATACAAAATAAAATACAATAGATTCATGTAAGAACATCAACAGTCTCAGATTTCTTATCCCATCAGTTAACACAGTTTACATGAGGGATGAAGAAATCACAGCTCTATAGTCAAAGCATGCTATGAACAAATTGTAGTAAAACAAGTATGGCCCAAATACATTCTGCAAGTGGTACTTACAAGCCATAAGATGACTCTGAGCTACATTTCCCCCTACGTTTCTAGCTCTTATTTCACAACTGCATCCTAACCAACAAGTTAACTGATGTGCAATTATTCTCAATTTTAAGCTGATGTCAACCCTGATGGAGCAGCAAGAGAGCCTCTTTTCCATGGTAAAATTTGCCCACACATGGGTGTATCTGCAGCAGTACTAGAGTATCATTTTTTAAAATATTTTGTTCACATAACCTTTTCCTTCTGAGTTTAAAACTTCTAAGTAAGGTCTATATAGATGAACATAAACAGATCTAGAGCCTTTCTACTTCAGATTTCCAATTTGCAACATACATGCAAAGCAAAGATTGTTTCCAAATCATCCCTTTCTGGGAGTCCTATAAAAGCCACATCTACAGGTCAAAGCATGTCACAAAAAAGAAACCTGATGGAAGTGAGAAATCTGACGGTTTAAGTCCACACTCCTCTGAATGTTTGCTGCTGAGGAATGATTTAACTTCTTTCATCAACTGGAGCAGCTTAAGGGCTGCTTACATTTCATTATTTATAGTAGCCTATTAAATGTCATTCAATTGTTTGCTTTGGTTAGACTCCAAATGGTAACGTTTAACTATTTTACTTCATGTGACAATGTGTAGAAATCTTGGCGGGGGCAGAGCGGGGGAGTAAAGACATTCAATGCCTTCAAAACTTTCTTTAACTGGAGTACCAGTTACAAATTAACCACCATTATAGTGCACAGAGCTTATCGATTGAAATGGGAAAATCTGAAGAGCACCTTCCAAGATTTCTTCATCAAGATGTTTTAGCTCCTCCTCAATTTCTATTTTAATCTTCTCCAAAGCCTCTTTCTCCAAAGCATGTTGTGCCATAACCTGTTGTTGAGTCCCTAAAAGAAATCAGAGAAATTATTCAAATGTTGTATTTCAAATAAGGTAGATCATGGAACGTGATATTGAAATATTAACTATAAAGGAATTCAAGGTGAAAGTTCCATTTCAGACAGCAACATAAAAAGTATGATTCCTTAACAGCACTTATCACAAAAGTTTTGTTACATGTGCCCAGAAACACATAAACTCCCAGGCCTATTTAAGATAGAATGGGTGCTTTAAATATGAATATACTTAAAAAAATAAGAACTGTAAAGCCACAAACAGAATATATAACAGCTTTAAAACCAAACTTCTCTAAAATTTAAGACCAAAATCAAACGAAGGCACATAAACAAGCAGTCACTAAAACTAATACACTCATTATCAAACTGCACCAAAACAAACCAGACAAGGCATAAGCTTGATTTTTAGTAGCAAAATATAAAACTGACATAGATGCCTGCAAAATCTATGAAAATACTCAAGAGCAATGATGTAATGACATCAATGAGGAGCCCTGAAATCTATTAATTGTGCATCATTCCGCTGTTCATGAGGAGTCTACAGGATACAATGAAATAATTTAAGACCAGGTTCACAAGTAACAAAAGAGACAAAGGACTCTGCAATTGTCAGTCAACTGTCAATTCTCATCTCCTAATCAAGTCATTTAGGAATCTGAAATGGCTGCATATCCCCAGAAGTACATATGCCGTGGTCTGGGATAACAAATACATATTCCATGTGCTGATTCCAGATATCTGGTAACAAGAAGTTGTTTCAGCCATAATATTCAGGATTGCACAGACTCTCAATCATCTTAATTATTATGCTGTACCAAAGCAGACATAAAACTGCTTCCAAACAAGCCAAGGTATTTAAAACATATGCAACTTTAAGAAACTGCTTGCTGAATGTCAACCTTTCCAATATAAGGCCATATGGCAAGGTAACTAGTCAAGTAACTGTTTATGCGACGGGTACTAATGGAAAGACTAGATGTCTGGGACAGAGTTCCAGGTCAAAACTCTTGCTATTTAGCTGCTTTTCCTTTGGGTTTGCTCACCTTTATTTCTTCCACTAGCTTTCAAGCATGTCTTCAAACCCCACAACCCCCTTAAAGCACACTACAAAAACTGCTGTCTTATTTTCACCAAACACCACTGAATCAACAGCCTACTACTGAAATTTTCTTCTTCCTTTCTTTCAATTCCTTAAAATGTCCTACTTAGACATAAAATGGATCTCTGTTATAGTCACCCGAACATTAAAGCAAATTTTGTATCAACTTACTCCTGAAATAAATAAATAAACAAATGTAACTGATCACAAAACTTCCCTTTGCTAAGTAATCCCCCCATTCCAGCCATTTGCTTCCCTAAGTTTTGGGTCAATTATCAGTCCTCATTAGCCCCGGACTCTGCTATTTTCAACAGTGGCAGTGACTGGGCTACCCAAGACACATTTTCTCAGCCCTCTTTTTCTGAATAGTCCTTAGAATTCTTTTTTGGGACTTCACATTCTCTCGTGCCCATGATTTAAACACCACCTCCTGGCCGACCTTCTGATAACGTTGCCCATCTCCACTGTTTCTTACTCACACACCCAAATACTGATGACTCCAATCTACCTCACCCTTTCTGCACCTATACCAACTGCCTACAGCTCTACCTGGGCATCTAGACATCATTCCGCTCTACAGATGTTCTTCACTCAGTTGAAGAAAATAAAAAGGGAAAGGATTTATATCTGTAATGTAGGTATCATCTGACTTAGTTTCTTCCTCATCACTTGTATTTCACATCCAAATCTTCAGGTAAGTCAAGTTCTGCAACAGCCAGTGTAGCTTTCTGGCATGTCTTTCTTCATCCCTGTTTTGAAGACATCAAATCATAATCTAGTGGTCTTACGAACAACTGCCTATTTTCTCTAGTTCATCTCTATTTAAATCTGCTTGAACTCACTTTAAGTCTTGTATCACCTTCCCCTTTCCTCCACAGTGGACAAGTAATGTCACTAGTTTTCGTATCAGAGTGTGTGAAAACCATAAAAGCAATGATACTAGTTAACACACACAGATGTAAAGTACACTGTGCATTTTCTGTATTTAAAAGAACACTAGACAATAAGCTTGGAAGGTCTCCTACATTTGAAAAACAAGTTTTAAATCCACATAATCAACCCACTGAACATTTGCTAATGCTTAAAAACTCAGCACTAAATAGATACCTGTGAGATAAAACCTTTCTAAACCAATGTACAAGTCTGTGTAAAATGTTCACAGTTCTTTATGCGAACAGTTTAAAGGAACAACAGTCAGTCAGTTTAATTCCATTTTACTTAACCACACAGATCATCATCACTATGTTCAGAATAACTTTATTTAGCTTCTTAAATCCCTTCTCAGTCTCTCTTTTCCACTCTGAACAATAAATTCCAGAGAGGAGCAAACTGTTCCTCCTTTTGGTTAATGAACAGACACTCACTAATGCCTTGTCAGTCCCTTTAAGTCACCTCTTTGAATGACCAAACCACTGCTTTACAGTCAAGTGCAACAAGTAGACTCAAGTACAAACTCCTATTTTAACCTGTGCTTCACCCTGTATATGGAAGGGATGAGGGTATGCAGAAGAGTACCCATTCTCACGGGACTAATGTGATGATGATCACACATGACAAGCTGTCATACTTGATAAGAAGTCACCCGGAAAATGGAAGGAAGAGAAATTCCATTGCTGCCAGTGTACAAAAGAGCTGTTTAGATAATCAGTGCTGCAGTCAATGGTTTCCATCTCGTAACACCCACAACTTTGCAGCAGCTGCTGATTCCAATAGCACCTGACTATCCAGTCGTGCCAAAACATCAAAAACCTACCCCTCCTGGACCAGTGACTTTGCATTGTTTATTCCCCTATTTATCAATGGACTTCAGCTTTCTGCATCTCCTGTATGTTGACAGCTACCAACAAAACTTGTATCCAATATTGGAGAACAGCATAGTCCAACAGCAAAGGTCCTAAGCGAGCGGTATCTTTTTCCCCTTTAGACAACTTTCAAGTTGGTTTGCAAATAGGTAGAATAAAACAGTAAAAATAGCTTCTAGTAGATGAGAACATATTTTCATTGTTTAACAATGCAAATGGTCACACCAGAAATGTTACCTGTAAGATCCATAAACATTGAATGCATTCCTATGCTGAAAAAATGGATTTGCCTATTATGGGCTTTTGGCAAACTGACTCTGAAAGGCCTCTTCCCAATCCAAAGACACAACAAACCTCTGTTACACAGTCTGACAAGAAGAAGTTAGTGCATTCTACTTTCTATTTATGGAATAAATGTTCCCTTTCCCACAAGTGTGCTCTTGCTAAGATTTTGGTTTTCAGGTATTTGGAGGTAACCTGCAAAGTAGGGGAAAATCTATTCTAAAAGTCCATCAAGCACCGCATCACTGACAATCAGACAGGGTTAAGACTACCAAATAAATGTATTACTTCAGTAAAACTCCACTGATAACGCCATGCCAGAAGTTTAGGAACAATACAAGACTAACCCATTCCCCAGGTTTGATCCCAGGAGGAGGAGGGATGGGAAGTCATTCATCAGAGCCAGAGAGCCTGCACATTTGATTCTAGAGTGTTTGTGTCAAACTACAGCCAACAAGAGACAGCAGCAACTATACGGACAGACTGAAAAGGTGCTGTGCAGTTTTAGTTCAAGTGAATGCAGGGTGAATGAAAAATAAAGCCATGGATGTCACAGATTGCTCCTGTTTGTTTTTTTTTTCTTTCATGCTTGTAATTTTAATTTACCAATACCTCTGTTTTCAAGTTCTCCTAAGTCTCTATATTAACTTCTGTACAGTCAACTTTGATTTAAAAATTTACTTTCAGTATGATTCTAGTATTTCTTTAACATCTCAGACTTTTTAAAACAATAAGTGTCTAAAATTTCTGTAAGCACTGAAAAGTGACAAAAATATACAAAATCTCTTAACAAATGTATTCATCTGTTTCCTTTAAAGAAAAGTATATCCATTACCCCAGCAAACTCTAGAACACAGACTGCCATACATAGATGTAGCCCTTGATTTGAGAAATGTTTAAAAGCTCTTTATAAACCATAAGAAGGCTCAGCTTAAAAGAAACTAAAAAAGTCCAAAATATTAAGAACCAAAAAGAGACAAGACATTGCCAACTAGCAGTCAATTTTTTTTTTTGTGGGCACAGAGGAGGCTTAATTAAGTGGGAATTCATACTCCTGGAAGGACAGCCTCTTACTTCTCCAAGTCACACCCCAAAAACTCCCTTTCCTTGCCTCAGTTCAGGAAATTGCTCCCTCATTACCATGAACTAGATCGGTGTGTACCTTTTCAGCCAAAGTAGGTATGTTTTGCCCTAAGATAAACGTTTCTAAGGAATGAGTTATTCATCTAAGCTAAAACCACCTCAAAACCACCTTCATTTCGTACAGACCAACAGTAGGTACTATGAAGGGCAACTGAAGGTACAGGGATGAAGTACGAAGAAAACCAAGATACTGCGCAACAGCCACTCCAAGTGTCACCTTACGATAGAAACTCTTGAAATTACAGGTATCCAACCCATGATGGTCAATACCATATAAATGAGGTACTACTGTTCCGTTTGGGATGGCCACTAAGGAGTCCTGAGCTCACCCACAATGCGTGAAACTTAACCATCTCTGCCTATCCGTACATGTATTCCATGAGCTGTAACTGAGTTCACTTTTAACCAAAGCAAGTGAACAAATAAATGTAAAACCCATTTCTCCCAGTAACCCAGTTGAACACTGCTCAGCTGCAAGAAATGTGTGTGGGACACCGCTAAAATGCCTTGATCTCCGACTACAGAAATTCCAAAACAGATAATAAATGGTCAAAGGACGTTGTGCACAATAATTGGATTGAAGTACCGTGGATAGCATGCACCTCAGGGAAACTGTAAAATTGTCAAACCTTGTTCACCTCTTGAGTAACCCCTATCCCACCATGCAGTAGTGGCATTGATTATAAATCTTCCAGATGCTATGTGAGCTAAGGGATTATTTAAGATTTCTCATTCTGTCAAGGAAAACACAGAAAAACTACTTTCCTTCACAATCTTCATTATAGCCACAGGCTCATGGGATAGGGTCAAACCATGAGGAAGCAGATTAAGAAATGGAAATACACTAAAGGTTACTCCTTGATGAAACACAAAGAAGCATTTATAATACAAATATATTGAATCACAAAACCAAAGTACTTTGACTCACTTAAAGAATAAGTAGTACTAAGAACTGCAGCAGACTGGGAGCTTCTATAATGAGCGTGAATTTCAGGGGGGGAAATGCAGAAATACTTGATATTTATTTTCTGTGCATGAACCAGTAGTTATAGATACTACAAGAGTTCTGAAAAAATACTAAAGCATCTCTCCACAATCTAATGAAGATAACTGACAGTGCCATACATTAAGTAAATGCACTCTTCTGTTGCCTCAAACCATGTGAACTCACACAGATGATATCTTACCATGTGTGTTTTACCAGATATATCCAAGCAATTCATATTATTCACCTACCTGAAAACCTACCAAAAAAGTAACAGAATTTACTGCTAACAGACTTTGCTTTAAATGAACTGAAGTGAGTGCTATGCAGAACCACTATTCTGCCAAAATTGTAATAGGAGTAATCTCTCAAACTACTGCCCAGTTGAGTTTGCTGGATTTTCCTCTGGAGACACTGAAATCCACTACAGAATACTACAGAGCTGTAATGTTAAAAGACTGATTTGTCCAATAAAACTGTCAAGAGTCTGGAATACTGCAGATGGTTCTCTCTTCAGTCCCTGCACTGAAGAGAAGTTATCTAAATCAAAATTTCAAAGGAGTAATCAGATGTTGACTTAGATTGGCCTTATTTCTTGAAGCCAGAAGTGGGTTTATCTCTTTTAATTGAAGCCATCTTTCCTGCAACAAAATCAAGACCAACCAAGAGATTCAAAAGGAAATACAGTGATGTCATTTTCTATGTACTTTGTCTCAATTTTCTCTTCACTAAATAAAACCCCTCTGAAAAACATTGCTCTCATAAAGCATATTATATCTGCAAAAAATGAGAAGGTTTAAATTGAAATCTAACAAATATCTTAAAGATTTACTCTTATTTGAGTTTTTGGAACAAAAAGACATACATCAGAAAAAGAACTCTCTTTTTGCAGGAAAGCAAAGGTTTGTGAGCAATGACTGTAGGAGGAAAAGGAGGGGAGTGGACAAAAGCATTAAATTTCTCCTACCAGCTCTAGCAGAGATAAAATAGTATCATTCCTGTTGGGAAAGATCGTTTTTTTAGTTGGTTTTTTTTGACCCATCAGATACATTCTCTAGTTTAACCAGAGTGTTGAAGCTTCACTGAAATCTGGGAGGCTGCTGTGCAAGGAGACTCAAGGGAGGTACAGAAATTCTAACTACACCTGGCATGCCTTATTTCCCCATGTTCTGTATATGTGCAAAGGAAAGGGAGAAGATGCTCCAGCGGGTGATACAACGTGGCTGCAACTGGGATCCTGCTCCGAACTGCCCTCTAGAGGAGTCCCTCATGCTCTGGTACCGAAGGAGACCGGTTATCGAGGTTAACATTACAAGGGCAAACTAAAGCTAGTCTTTCTGGATACTCCCCTTATATTGTAATGAGACACAGAAATCAGACAAAGAGTAAGGACTACTTGGATAGAAGGAAAATATATGACGGGAAAGTACCATATACCATAGTCAATACCTCATATGAATGAAACACATAAAATAGAGAAGTGTTCTACAACTAAAATAGAAACAGGCAATAGCCAAAATCACTGCTTCAGTTGTTTCCCATGAAAGGTCTGTAAACCCAATAACCAAATGAAAGTAAAATAAGATTAAGTGACAGGTACTTCGTATCAGAATCCTCTCAATTCATAAATCAACAGCGTTCAGCCATAGAGAATAGAAAAACCACTGACCAGTGTTTTAAAGTACACAAAAATCATCAATGAAAGGAACTTGCAATCAGTCAAGATAGCATATCAAGGGTTGATGACAGTGCTTGAAAAACACACTGATAAGCAAAATGTAACGTCATACTGTTACTATCCCTCCTATGTCTTTGTTACCAAAACCAAGAAGTTTCCTCCTCATGATGGCATTCTACACAACAACTATTCATTTTCATTTACTGGCTTTCACATCTCTTTTGTTCTAACCAGGTTTCTCAGACCACGCTTGTTACTGTAACACCCAGCTACCTCCCAGCAGTGCATTAGGCAGTGCAGGTAATATCCCTGATAGGCTGCTGTTTCTCTTGCTGTCTTCCTAGTGGAGAATATAAAGCATATAGAGCAGAGTGCTTTGGTACAGGTCTCTGCAAGTAGGCATCAGCCACATGCCAGACAACAAGGAGATACGGACTGTGTATATAAACTACTTGATATTCAAAGAAGATGCATAAACACATGGCTCTTACCACACATACCCTGGGAGTGCAGCTGAAACAACTGTTCAATTACAAGCAATGAGAGAAGAAGCAGGAGAAAGGATTTTTAAAAAGTAACTGTCAGACAAATGAAAGGTGCTGAAAGCACGGAAAGCAGAAAAGCACCAGGAAAAGTGAGTTAGGAAATAATAAAACAAATCCTGAAGCAGAAGGATAAAGTGTTTGCACTTAGTTCAGAAACAGCCTGAAGCCCATCCAAGGCATTACAAAACAGAGTGAGAAGTAATATCAGATTAAAAGGGAAAATTATTTTATCCACAGGATTGATCAGAAAACAGTAAAAACACTGAGAGAGATATCTAATTACAGTGAAAGATGACCAGGAGAGAAGTAGTTGTGGTCACCGTCTGGTTTTGGGAGTGAGGGTGGGGGAAATGTAGAAGAATTTCCTGTTTAGAAGGGAAGGTTTAGAGCAACAAGGATGAAAGAACAGATTCGGAAAGTATCAATGCTTCAGAGTATTTTAATAGCAAAGCCAACTACAGCCTGCTGTCACACAAGCTAACATATTTAAATAACATCTGAAAAATAAACTCAACAGTTATCTTTACTCAGGAGCATAAAAAGTCCTAACAGACTACAAAATTTTTATTTAAACATTTGTAGCTTTCTCTTTACAAAGTTTTAATATTGCTCTTTAATTCAAATATTTCTTAGAGTTTTCAGTAATAAGAAACAGTTAAAAGGTTTCACCTCAATTTTCAAATATTTCAAAGGTAACTAGAGCCAAATTATTAAAAAAAAAGCTTTAAGACTAACAGTTTCCTTTCTGAACCTTGCATTTATAGAACAAAGCAAACTCCTCCACATTGTAGCTTTATATGTACGCTATATGTTTCCAGTTATAACCCAGTTATCCCAGATGGGATATTCAAAATGAGATGTTATTGCTCATTTCCAGTTATGAAACAGCATCTTGGCACTAAGGAGCTTCTCCTTTCATGGACCACAGATGCAGTCAAAGTGGAAGTAACAGACATACCTTAAATACATTAAGATTAATTTTATAAATGATATATAATATAACCAGCATATGCCATATGCTTTAGTGCCAAACCGATAAAATAATTTCTGTCAGAACTTTGATGCTATCTTTTCTTTTCAGGAATTTCTCACTTCATGACAGGTAAGCTCAGTAAATGACAGAGTATGCATTCTTAAATGATTGTTAAAAAAAAAAAAATATTCTGAATACTGTCTTTGTTCTTTTTTTTTAACATGCCTTTCATCAGAGTAAGTTCTGAATCACAGGAACTAGTAGTGACTGAAACGTCATTAAGAAGTGACAAGCCATCCAAACAATCTTGACAAACAGTATTGTTTCAGTGCTTGCCACCAGAAAATAAAGTTTTACTACCTAGGCTTACGTGAAACACAATCTATAAAACTTCTTTTATTCTGCCTCCTATCTATTTATGTAACCTCCTATATACATAAACCTGTTCTGGAAGAAACATTTGACTCTGACTCCATGCAGGCCTTGACTTCTTAAAACTAACTAATTAAATAAATCGATGCAGTATAGCCCAGGTTAAAGCCTCACATCTCTGCACTACCACTGACTGATAACAACAGAAGCGTTAATATAATAGGGCAAAACAATTTAGCACATGAGATTGTTCAAGTCATGGCTCACAGTTTATGCTGGTAAACAGCACCTCACCCTTGCTTACTTCCACTTGCTTCCCAAACAAAGCAAGCATAGGCTCAAATTCTCAAGATAGCTCAACAAAGATAATATATATCCATCCCTCCTAACCTCAAGACAGCTACTAAAACCACTTATTGGCTTCATAAACACCAAGTGGTCCTGGCATAGCTCAAATTAAAACAGTAATCTAAATACAAACAGCTTTGTTTCCATCAGCATCTCTTCCCATTATTTTAAATGAATAAAATAAGAGATGCATTACACTGAACATCAGGCTAACATTCAGCATCTATGCACAAACAACTGAAGAACTAATTGGAAATACAGTTGCATACGTAAATAGGTACAGATGAATATACAAATATTACCTTGAGTTGAAGGAGGAGGATGCTCCTGTGGCTTCTCTTGTGACAGAAGTCCCAGGTAGCTGAGAACTACGTATTTTGTTTCATAGTGAAATCCTACAGGCACAGCAGTAGAGGACGCCATCGGGTTGGCTTGCAAGGTGGCAGTGCTCTTGCAGGGCACGTAGGGTTTTCTCTGGGTAACTGAGGAAGATTGTAAGGAAAGAATACAGTCTTTAGTTTGTTTTTTTATAAGGCTGAAATAGGTCATGAACTCATACATAACAAGGAATTATGTAACAATCTTGAAGTAATATCCAGGTTTTTGCCCTGATATCCTATGCATTCTTATTTTAATAAGAACCGTGCAGAGTAAAACCAACTGTCCACCAGTCCAGCACCCTGCCTGACTGCTGCAGCAGCGGCATTTCTCACTCCTGCTTAGCATATGCGCTCTCACATTAAAGCAAATCGAACAGTTCCTCACCACCTGTCTGCCTCCTAATGCCTCCCAACTCAACCACACACAAAAATATATATGTATTCATGAAAAGAAGTTTTGAGGGATTCTGAAGACTTAGTTAACTACAATTTGAGGTAAAAAGACAGGTTCTGACGAGTCTCACTATTCACTATTATTCACTCAATATTCACTATTATGATGCTTAAAAATTTTAATGCAGAAAAAGTGACCACAATTGCGCCAAATTCATATTAGTGCTCCAACAGCAATGGAAACCATATGGTCAACAGAGGAAATTTCACATTCATTGCAAGGATTAGAAGAGCAGACGGTTGTGTCCCCTGGTTTTCTCACTCAGACATTAATCCTTATAAACCAGAAATCCACACCTAACAGCAACATCGGATCAAAGAACTTCCCTGTTTTACTCTAATTGTTTTGTTGCTTTTTTCAAACATCTAAATAAGAACAGCAGGAAAAACTAAGGTAGAGAGAAATTGAAAACAGCCATAAAGGACAAGGTAAAAAAATAATTTCAGAAAACAATATGGAAATGGGGAAAAGCCATACAACAGACTGAAAGGAAGTTTTAAATTAATCAACATGTTTTAGCTCCTTACATTAGGAACAGTCTGGAAAACTACTTCCAACGTGCTATCAACTTGATGAATCAAATAATAGTATTTAGGGCTTTAAGATAAACTCTCAAAATCAAGTTCTGCATCACTTCAGAGAGTTATTCTCAAACAAGTAGCAGCTCATTCTTGGCCATCAGAATGGATGTCTAAATAAAAGGCATGCAAAAAAAGCTCATGCTACAGAACAGCAACTTAACAGGTACTGAAGGAGCTAGACAATTTACTAGTGTGAAACTGCAGTTACATTTAAAAGAAAAATTTAAAGCACGTTTAAAGTTTAAAGCAGTTAGAATGAGAAAAATGTTATATACAGGGAACAGTAGTTGGAACATCTCAAGAGGGTTCCTGATTACACTGGAAATGCCTTGAGACTAAGAGAGAGAACCAGGTTCCCAAACCAAAGCACAGTCTGCAAATGAAGCCTCAAAATTAACAATAATAATAATAATAAACAGAGCATGCAAAAGAAAAGCATTGACCTGTCTAGCTATGCAAGATGTGTGGGCTAACTTCTAACCCACCTCCTCCCTGGAAAGGAATTCAGATTAATAGCAGTTGTACACTGGTTATCAAGGATAAACAGAACTATAACTGTGCTGTGGCATGGTTACTCTGTAATTAGGTAGCTTGGCAAAGAAAAATTTATCTGTCAAACTAAAAGCTGCAAAAGGAAAAGAGTTGGTGTAAAACTGGCTAAGCGTTCTTTCTGTAATCTTCAGCAACTCTAGTTTCTGAAACTCATTCAGTATTGAAAACAGAAGAAGAGTCTTTCATGAAGACTATACTTTGGAAGGCCTGCCTTTTGCCATGTATTTCAAAATGCCTGAAATCCTTTACCAGAAAAATTTCGTTGAGTTTTTGCTATGGCTTGAATCAAAGTGGTGATTTATATAGGAAGGAATCAATGTCGAAACTTTGAGTCAACACTCATCCCTTGAAGTAGTAATCCTACATTTATGTTGCTTGTTCCATTCCAGAGTGCTCTACAGGCAATGCATCATGCTTCAGAAACAAGAAATTATAGCACAAGATAAGCACAGCTTTTGCACAATACACTGTTACCCTTCAGCTGCTTCCATAGACCGAGATTTTCACAAAGTAGGGAGATTTAGAAAAAAATCAGAAGACTTTAGGATCCTTTAACAATAGATCTGCTCTTCAGACCAGATCCCCAGATGCCATCACCACATCACATGTTCACATTACGAGGTCTGAAAGATGCCATTCACCAAAAAGCAAAAGCTCCCCAGCACGTTTCAGTTCTGGTTTGTTCAGTAGAGATCGACAGCCCTGAAATCAACACACTTCTCGCAACGCCTACACAGTGAATGGAAGCCCTTCCAGACACCCTGAACTGATCTGTCCTGAAAGAATTGGTCTGACAGATGGTCCAGAGATATCCAGACACTACACTGTGGATCAAAGAACAAGTCTGAATATATAACAAAGATTATTCTTCAAAATATAACTTCAAATCAACCCAGAAAATGAAAGAAAAAAAGAGTCAATCAAAACAAGCACGAGACTCCACACCAGCACAGTGACCCATGTGCAACAGTGAGGCCTAACTCATGACAATCTCAGCATGCTTAGCTCAGCACCTCTGGAGAGAGGAGGGGGGGGGAAGAGAGAGAGAGGGAGAATCAGACCACAGCTTATTTAAATAGTGGTTAATGTTTCCCTGGGAAAAGAATGAAGAAAAAAGCTTTGGATGAAAAAAAGTAATCACTTTGGTCGACATATTCTGAGATGTAGTTTTATACTGAAATGAGAAGAAAGACTTAAGAACTTGAGTTAAAAGTATATTCAGTTTCACATAAAAGAACATCAGACTGGAAATGCACTTCAGAATCACTGGTCTTCCCTTGAGAGAAGCCCACAGCATAGCAACTGAATTACTCTCTTTGACTTGTGAATGACTGGTTTTGTTTACAAAAAGAAATAGAGAAATATTGACTCAGATACTGTAAATATCTCAGAAAAGGCCATTTTTCAGGAATGAATGGGATTAAAAAAAAGGATATGAAGCTTGAGAGACCAGAGCAGAGAAAGGAGAACTTTCCACTACAGGAGCAAAATGGAAGAGAGTCCAGAAACTGTTTAAGAGAATAAGACAAAGGCTTGTATGGGAGACGTAATGGAGCAAAGGAAATAAGGCATCATACAGACTACGTAGGCCTCAAAGCAAGGGCATGAGAGTTAGTTCTGGTCTAACAGGTTCACTGCAAGAATATTGCCTCTTAAAAACCTAAAGAGATCAAAAATTATTACCAATTACTCGCCACAAAAAAATTCACCTTTCTCAGTTCCTGCACCCGTGGGGGAACAAAAGGCTATACCTGTTGAAGCTTACTTATCTTGTAACTCCTCTGACCCTGCTGTCACTTGTTTCATGTGGGCTGAGCTGCTCAACCAACCTGAGAACAGGAGTTCCAGTCACTAACATTTCCTCATGCAATCTGTCACATCCTAATCCACAGAAGAGTTACATGTTAGATAACGGGCAATGCAGGTCTACCAATGAATACAGTGACTATAATCCCCTAGTGATGGGGCTCTGCTATGGTTTAGTCCTTACCTGCAAAATCCTACCATGCATCAAGTTGTGTTTATCATGCATCATTCAAAGGCCAAAACACAACAGCATTATGATACTGCCCATAAGAACAGTTCACCAGTTGTCACTAAGATCTACTGCGCGTCTATTTGACTGTTGCCAATCTGAGACTTGCCTTTTGCATTTAGAGCTGTAGCCTTACAAAGTATTTTGCTGCATGTTTATAAACAAATCAGTAGGCGATCAATATCACTACTGATTTCCAATGCACTAAAAACACAGGTCCAGAAACAACCGTGCAGTCACAGATTGCCACATTTTTACAAATAACACCACCACCATGACCATAGTTAAGTTCCATTTGAAAACAGAGTCAATCTAGGGCTGGATGCAGTTCCCACCTACAGCCCAGGTTATTAAGCCTCACTTACCAGCTACAAACGTAATTGTTCTAGACAGCCACTCCAGCAGTGTATCTCCTGCTGCTGGAGAATTATTTCACAGCACGTGTGGTCTCACTCAGGAATTGTTCACCCAAGCACAGACAGGGAGATTTAGCGAGGCAACAAAACGGTAGCGCCAGAGTTCAAATCATTTTTAGGGCAGCGTGTCACTTATACATTCACCAAACATTCACAGGTTTGGGTCATCCTCCTGATACCAGTCTCTGCAACAGGTAACCACTCTGATTTCACTCTAACCTACAGCCTTACATTTATACGGTACTCTTTATCCAAACATACCAAATTTCACGGAGTTGCAGGTCTACAAAACCACACCCCATATCAACAAGATGGAAAAATATTCAAACGCTGTGCAACCTTACCGGAAGGCTTGTATAGGGATTTTGGATGAGACTTGCATGTGTGGACTAGTTTAACCTTGCAGGAGTTTGTCTCTGAAAACACTTCACCTAACAGGTAGGACTTTCCAAAGTACCCGATCGTGATCAAGTTGGAAGATAAATTCATCAGAATACTTTTCCAATAATATATGATGGTATGACTAAGAGTTTGTTTTTAATAAACTCAGAACTACTGAGTTCAAACATGTCAATTCCTACTGGAAATGAATCAATATTGCATCCATTACTGATCCTCTAGTGGCATTTAATGGATAGAAATACTGGAAAATATGATAGTCATTTATCCAGGCAGTGATTTTGGTTGACCTTAGAGGGAAATGTAATTAAGCGAGCATTCTAGGCAAATGGTTTGATTTTTCTTCTAGGGAAAAAAACCAAAACTGCATGAGTTGTCTACTATAAAGGTTCTCAATCCTTTTCAGCCTTAAACCATCTTACCACAATATTAAATCATGACAAAACCAGCTTTCATTAACAAGCTTTCATTCACTTCCTTTTTCAACTTGCCAAGTGCTATTTGGATTTGAACGTGACCAAGAGGACAGGCAGGTAAGGCAGAAACTCTGCGCTCGCTCTGAGTTTCAACAGTACCAAACAAACACAGAGCCGGAGCAGACCCGCA